ATTCCTTGGCTATTTGGGAAGACTATTAGTATACATTAAAGAAGTTCAGGAGATTATGCAAAGGCCTCATCATTTGAAGGAAATATTTTTACCTGGAACTCATTAATTTCACTTTGATGGGTGAAGCAGTATCTACTTGTCTGACAAAGGACAGGTTTAAAATAGGAGTGGGAAAATACCTGCCACAAGGGAAGGGGGGAGGCAGGTTTGGAACTAAAGATGAGCAGAACCACCCTCCTGTTATTTCAGAAGGACCAGATGGTGTTTTCCCAGAAAGGCAATTACCTCACTTGAGAGCAAATAGCTATTTCCTCTACGTAACTCACTCAGCACTTTGGGTTTTCTTTTGCTTTTCTCTCTCTAGCTTCCTCACAACAGTACTAAATTAGACCAAAGGCAAGTTGAAGTTAGGCTGAGGGCTGCTTGTGGTCCTTAGCTGCAAAGTGTCCGTTCTGGTTTAAGAGAAACAGATGGAACTTCTTAAGTGGATCTTTGTCTAATCTGCTTAGCATTGTGAATGGCCCAGTGCTTCGGGAAGTTCAGAAGCAAAATAGAAAAAAAACCAAACAGCTGACAATTCTGCTTATATGCTGGCCATATCCAATTCCTCTGACATTAGGTTTTACCCCTACACAGGAAGCTATCAAAGATAAGTTTGCTTATATACAAGTGGGTGCTTATGTTTTATTTAATTTACACCACCAGATGCTTAACCATTTCTGGGCAATATATAATAAAACCAAGCAAAATAGTAGTAGCATAATTATGAAAGAAAGAAAAAAAAAGAACTGATGGTGGATCCGACTAACCATAACCGCACCCAATTGACAGGGGGCCCAAGTGCCCCAGCCCAAGGTCTTGAACAGCAAGTCTTCAAGGTTTTCTGAAATGCCAGCAGGATGGGAGCCACGGAGATATCAGAAGGAATCTCAGTTTACTTGTTCTGGTTTTGTTACTTGGTTTCAAATAGACATCTTCAGGTTGGCGTTTTTGAGCATAACTCCCATCTTCCCCAAACAGATGTTAGCTAATACATCTGAAGAGCATGAAGTCGTGGGAAGACTGGTTTAAATTTATGTGTGTGCCACTTATCTGTCTGAAGATCAAGGAAGGATGGCAGCCTCAGGATACAAACAAATAAAACTGATAAAAGCGAGAGTTTCTCTGTGTGTCTGTGTGTGTGATCCTACAGTAATGAAAGCTTGCTAGGGACTCCCCTTATTACATGTAAGCCAACATGTCAGATTAGACCTGGAGAACTCCAATTGAAAAATCCCATTTAGCCAAAAGGTTTACTGAATGAATTCCAGTCCTGTCCATTCCTCTTCCACAGTGAGAAGAGAATCCAAGAAGTTCTTTATAGGTCCCCAGAGGTGGAAAGAGGGAAGAAATGAATCATAAAAGAACAACCCCACTTGTTCCAAATTCAGAGGAAGTTGGTTTTGTTCATGCTTGATTTCAAAAGCTTCCTTTGGTACCCCCTCCTTGAGCACATTGCAGAGATGGGAGGATAAGGCCTGCATGCAGACCCAATTGCCATCCAAGGATTCTGGAAGGATGGAGAAGGGAAAATATTATTTTATGAATGAGTTATAAGAATATTCTGGCCAAGTTGTGGCATAGCAGTATGGGGGAGTAGATGGGACTATTGGTTCTCAAAGAAGAGTGGAGCACTAGAACCACTACTGATGGTCCCCAGAAGAGAAAACCGTGAAAATATTGTCTTTATTATTGCAAGATGTGATGACATGTCTTTTGGCTCTATTAACTTAGATAGTTAAGTTAATAACTTAACTCAAGTTAAGTTAATATGTTAACTCAAAGATACATGAAAATTTCTGGTTCTTTCAACTTTGGACCAGCTTTCATGTGACTGGTGCTCCCTGCTAGAAAAAAGCATGTTTAAATCTATAATATGCCTGATCTATCCTCATTTAAAACCCTGCCATATTCTCACTATCAACATTATTCTTAGCATCCCTAATGGCTAGAACAACAGAAATTCAGAAGTCTTTGCATTTTCCCTGTTCTGATTGGATTCTGACAATTTTTACGTTTGTTTTGGGGCTTGGCTGGGGTAATAAAATATAATAACTTGGAGAATATTAAATCTGATAAGCAAAGTAGCATTCTCCAAGGAACCTATCTGGGAAGCACTTTTTTTATCTCAAAGTTGCCTATCAAGTAATTTAAACTTAGGGGCCCAGTGTCACTTTGCATATGCTAAATATGGATAGAAACTTGCCTTGTTAAGTAACCTATTGGTATAAAATGCAAGTTGTTTCACCATGCTGGTTCTCTGGTCTTCTCCTTAAAATGCTAGTTTTCTGTATGAAAGTGTTTTTGGGGTTTTTTTTTCCAGGAAAAAAACATTCAAGTGTGTGAGGTTCCAAGTGCAGTCTCTCACTCCAACCCAGAGTGAGGCTTAACATATTACCAAGAGATCAGTAAAGGCTTGATCGTACAGCTTGTTTAAGTCAGAATGAAACTTGTTCATTTTAGATTGAGCAGGTCGGGTTGAATTCAGCTATTACAATGACTTAGGGCCGTTTCCCCCTTTGTCGCTAACTATGGGACAAAGCATATCCTGGCTGGTAACATTTATTTTTTCTACCATGCCCCTAAGATGCTACCTACCAAGGGCAATCTCAGTTCCTCTGAAAGGAAACCAGGCAACTGTGGTGACTGAGGCCAGAGGCAAGAATGGAATTGGGAACAGGCCCAATAGAGTTTTCTGCTGATTCTGGGATGAATAAACAGTATTTCCAACCATTACAGGAAAGCTCCTTAGCATGTTAAGTGAACTCAGCCAATTGTGAGTTAATAAAAATTGGGCTAAGAATGAGCTATGGTCCATCAAAAGCATGTTTCAGGAAATTCTGTCTCAGCTCCATTATGAGTAGAAAAATCATTGAGGACTAGGTGGATCGTGTTTAAGGCAAAATATGGGTGTTTCTGATCTGCATGATTGCATCACCATCATTGCTCTTTTATCACAACAAAATTCTTAAGGAAGAGTGGGCAGAGACAAGAGGCTGACATTTATCTGTCTGTCTGTCTATCTATCTATCTATCTATCTATCTATCATCTACCTACCTACCTACCTACCTACCTACCTACCTACCTACCTATCATCTATCTACCTACCTACCTACCTACCTACCTACCTACCTACCTATCTATCTATCTATCTATCTATCTATCTATCTATCTATCTATCTATCTATCTATCTATCTATCTATCTATCACATTTATACAGATGCCCATCTTATTGAAAGCAACTCTGTGTGATGCACAACAAGTCTTGTGAAATTCATGACTAAACAGGGATTTTTGAACAGGGGTTCCCCAGTGTCTGACACATTGCCTTTCTCCATTATGTTCAGTGTAGTAAGGGGAGTCCCTTAGTAAATTTTCATTATTGCATGCATGGACACACATGGACCTACAATGCTAGCGCAGAAAAGCACACTTTGGGGGAGGAATATAATCAGATGTGTAAATTGATATCTGAGAAGAAAGCACGGTCTAAAATGAGTTGTCAGTTCTGAGAAAGTGATCAGAGAGAAAGATACAGAGTAGTAATTCTGATGCCTCCATTTCTTAATTTCAGACTAGTTTTAGACCAGGAATAATGTTGCTAGAAGACAACTGCACACATACAATGCAGGCATGGGTATGTCCAGTTGATGATACATAAATATGGAAAGTATATTTCTACCCTGAGGTACCCATGATATACAGTACTTACCATTTATCGTCCAGTCTTTTGAAAGGAGAATTGTTAGTCCACCAGAGCAATGCTACTGCCTCCTCTGTTTTGTTTTATGCAGGCAGGATACTGTATTGTTCTATAGAAAGGGGATTTTTTAAACATCATTTCAGCTGATCAGTGGGATAATCCAAAAGAGGGAAATACTGGGTACTTTTTTCTTTTTTAATCAATGCTTGCATCTTTAACTACTCAAAAAAGGCCTGGCCAGTTCAAAATTTGACTGTTGCATCTTATGCCTATGATATTCCACAATCACCAAGAGAAAGTAAGGATCACGCAAATTATTGTCTGCAATTTCAGCATATAAATTGAAGTTATTTATCACAACAGACATAAAATTATGAGAATAAAGAAAAGATTAATGAGAAATCATAAATAAAATAGAGACTAGAACAATTTCTCAAATTATTTTTTTCAAATACAGAAGGGTTTTGATAAAGTAGAATGAAAGCTTATCAAGAATACGAATTACTTCACTTGGCTGATTAGTTTGTTGAAATATAAGCAGACTCTATAAGGAATAATGGGAAATTTAAAACAGTTCAGGAACAGTAACAATAAGCTGGAATATGCCTAAAGGACAGAGAAGGATGACAAGGATGGTGAGGAGTTAGAGTATGAGAGAAGTGTGAAAAAAGGTTGTAGGTGATAGTACACTTTTCTTCCTCACAGAAGAGAGAGAGAGAGAGAGATTCCAACAATGAATCTGTGATTAGACTGACAGAATGCCCCAAGCGCAGCTGATTCATACATTATACAGTAGCCTGTAAATTGCGCCATCTGGGGAGACATTTTGAAAACCCTTTATCTTGAAAATTCCACATTATCCAAGGAAATGAAGATATTTCAGGAAAAATTAATCTTTACGTAATTTATGCTTTGCAAGTTTGATAGGGCAATTTAAAATTAAAATCTCTGAAAATTCCATGTTTCATAAGTGAAGATATAGACCCAGAGTTCCAGTTCCTATCATCCCTCTAAGCAAGTGTTTCTCAGCCTTGGCAACTTTAAAAAGTGTGGACTTCAGCTTCCAGAATTCCCCAGCCAGCATGGATGGCTGGGGAATTCTGGGAATTGAAATCCACACGAGTTAAAGTTGCCAAGGTTGAGATACACTGCTCTAAGTACTAGATCCTGAAATAATACTTGATTGCAACAATAGTATTGTTTTACCTAGTATTTTCTGTTTTGTTTGACAGTCTTTTTTTTTTAATGTAGGCTTTATCGTTTGCAGAAAAAAGTTCTAAGACAAGACAATGGATTACTCCAATCAGGATTCTGCCCCACAATACATAGAGTCTTCTCATTTGCAAGGAAATGATGATTCAGACCTTTTCTTTACGAGTCCTGAGGGAGTTGATTCCAACTCTGTGCCCACATATTTCTCTCGTATGCCTGAATCCTACAGACACTCCCCAGGTAGGTATGAATGTAGCAATTGGAAGAGGTTAGGCTTTCCTCCACTGAGGCCATGGATGCTGTAATTTTTGGAAACTGATCTCAGTTTTTAAATACAAGCTTGGATACCTCAATTTTGTCTGCTTTTTCCCAATTTAAAGTCATACAGAGATTTACACTAAAGCCAGTGATGGTGATCATTGTAGCCTAATACACTGGAGGATATCATATTAGAAAATACTCTTCTTTTTAATCACAGGTGGTTGTGCAAATCAGTTGTGTTGGCAAAATTGCTCACTAAATTCTCAACGTTTTTTTTGCTGTGGCTTTCTATGCTACAAGATAGATGTGAGCCCCAGCATTAAAAATGAATTCAGAGTCAAGCACTGGTAAGCCTTGGCTTAGATTTAATTCTCTGTGTATCAGCCCCCCTTTTTATCATAACATTTTTGTTCTTCTACATAGTCTCAACACTGTTAAGAAATTCTGGCTGCTTGGCTAATATTACCTAAGTTCACATGCTATGTTCAGTTTAGTGAGTTGTATAAACACAGCCATTGTGGCTTATAAACCAGAGTTTATGGTTATGTATGCTGTGTATAGCCAGAAAATTTAATTTATTCAACAAGCCACATTAAAAAAGATTGTGGTTTAGCTTTATGTATAAATCCTACCTGCTATTGTTGTGTTTTCCTGCTAAGGTTTTTCCAAACTTTACTAACTGTTAAAACTTCATCATACTGAATCTAAGAACCTGGAATCCTAGTATAAAGAATCTTAGACTCAATAAAATACCATAGAAATGCAAACATACATATGTACATGCATACACATTTGTGTGTGTGTTTGTGTGTAAACCATGCTTTCCTTTCATTTCCTGTACTGAAATCTATCAAGCTTTTCTTCAGATGCAATCAAAAGCGGGCACATTTGTTGCTTATAAGGTGAAACCATGTGTAGCATCTTATCTACTAGATATCTTTCATTACGTAGTGCACTTTTCCGTAGTCTGCATGCATGCACATGAATCATGCTCACTTTAGTGTTGTTATTTCTTCCATATCACCACCACCACCACCACCACCACCACCACCACCATCATCATCATCATCATCATCAACATCAACATCAACATCACAATTACTACTACATCTCTACAACAGTGCGACAATTATACCCTCTTCTCAATGGTTTGCAATGGGGGGACAGCCATCCCTACAGCACAGCAGCTTGGGTCTCCAGTGCCTCTGGGAAAACCCACACTGGACTTCCTGTCTATACCTCTGCCACGTCCTCCTACCAGACTCTGCATGCACCGGCCTCTCCCAGGGACCTTTCCCCCGATGGCAAGAGCAGTCCCAGATATCTGGAGATGTTGAAGACAGAACGGATCAGCCCCACTCATGCTGAACTGCTGCCCCTGGGGACCCCAACTGGCCCAGCCCTCAGTCCTTACACTATGGGACAGGAGTATGGATATTTTCCGATGCCTGGAAGCCCCTTGACAGCTGGATATTCCCCCAAACTCCGAGGGACAATGCAGCTCTCCCCCAGTGGTGAGATCTTCTGTTGGATATCTTAAATGTTATAAAATAACTGCAGGTTTGGAATACCAGAGAACCCTAATCACAGGCTTACCTTGTGCTAAAAATCTGTGTCGTATCCACAGCATTAACATAAGAGAAAGAAACTGGAGTGCATTTTTTTTTGCCGCTATTGACATGCATTTTAATTTAAAATAAAATTATTCTGCGTTTCCAATATTAGCAAATCAGGCTAGGCAGCAATTTGGATTTGATTCGAAAAAGATGCTTTGAAGCGGGCTGAGACATGAACATAACACCTATCTGCAACATCTTAAAATTGGTCTGGAAAAATAGCTGAGGTGCATCGGCCTACAAGATGAGCCGGGTCCAAGTTGCAGCTCAGGGAGGCATGCAGAGTTGATCAAATCTGACCCACAAAGGGGAGAGCCACCGTTTTGGAAAAAGCAGCATCAGAAATAACAAGTGTTTGATTTGGATCTGGGAAACATGAATTTAAGTCTGTGCTCCCCTGTGGCTTGGGTTCAGTCTACCTTTTAAGACTGTTGGGAAGATAGAGTGAATTTAGTGTAGCAGCTGTGCAGTCATGTGGAAGAAACATGGCTAGGGAAGACAGGGTTAGCCCAAACTAATTAATTCCTACTTACTTTACTTCATGCCTCTAATTAAAAATAAGAGCATGCTCTCCAGAGCCAAATCTAAGGGGCAGAAATGAATTCACCCTAAGGTCAGACTAACCTTTATGCTGGAAACATCCCCAAGCTATTTAATACAAGCATGTAAATACTCTTCCATCCTGTTATCTTTTTAAAGAATTGCATACTTGTTTCTCTAATAAGAACAGACCAGTGGGGGAAACACGAAATTTTACTCAAATATAATTGCCTAGTGTCACTAATTGTTACATTATATAATGAGATAAAATACACATTTCCCAGCTTTAATCTTGATTTGATTTTTGAAAGAGACAGCTCTTAAACCATGACTACCTCCATGATCCTAGGAAAAGATCCAACTATTTAACAGATTTGCAGAAAGTTGCTACCTTCATAACCTTGTGCACGCCAATCTTTTGGTTGTGATTTCTCCCACCTGGAATCTCATGAGGCCAGACCTTTCTTGTTCTACTATAGTAGAGGTGCTTCATGAATATCACAACCTTAGGAGCAAATGCCACTCCAGAGAAGGTCCTTCTGCAGCTAAATGGAAGATGATGCCTGTCAAATGCAGCAGGAATGAAAGCTTTTGAAGGCTCTCATGATAGAATAGGTCTCTACAGCAGAGGTAATCTGACAGGTTTTCTGGTCCTGAGTTGTTGAAGCCTTGTATATCGAAAGCAGAATCTTAAGCAAAAGATTGCTCCTACCAGTTTATTGTCCTCTCCCAAACTGTCCTCCAACACAACATTCTTGTTTCAACAAGAATGACAATCTTTCCTAGAAACGAAAAATCATATCGTATCCTCCCACTTGAACTATCATGTTATCTTCTCCTTGAATGTCTGTTTCCACCTCTTTCCGCAGAGGCACGTGAGTGTGTGAACTGTGGAGCCACAGCCACCCCACTGTGGAGAAGGGATGGCACTGGCCACTATCTTTGCAATGCTTGTGGGCTCTACCACAAGATGAATGGCCAGAATCGGCCCCTCATTCGACCCAAGAAACGCCTGGTAAGTCAACATTCACTCTCCAGCAAGTGGATCCTGGTCACCTTCTTAAGAATTCCATCTCAACATTGCAACTCTCTGCTTATTTAAACAGCGTCATATATATATTTTTTAAAAAAGATGCTCTTTTAAATACAGTAGATGGTTGCAACAAAACTTGGTACCCTCAGACTTAGCTGAAAATGGTTGCCCAGCCATCCTCAGCTCAGAATAAATGTCTGCTTGAAAAGGAGAGTCTTCTGGTCTCAAAAGTGAAGCATCCCCCTTTTACAGGGCGGTGTGCTCGTGTGCTGGGAACCATAGGAAAGGTGTGGCTACTGTCCGCCACATGTTCCTTTCACCTTTCATCATGATGGGACCTTGAGCAAACCCTCTCTTGATGCTTTTACAGGGTGGACAGGTGATAGCTAAAATCCTCTGATACCACATTGCAAAGGCTTTATAGGTAATAATAACCAGCTTATGAATTGGATCTGGAAGATCTTTGACAACTAGATCTTTGACAACTAGGGTTTTCAAATACTAGTTGAGAAATATACTTTACCAGATACTACTGTGAATTTCCTGTATGGATTAAAGAACCACCATGTGGCCTACTTGGGACTTTGGCTTCAACCAGTAGAAATCTCTGTAGGTATTTAGATTTTTTTAAAACATTAAATATTCTGAGTTCATTGTTGAAAGGGTGTTCTGTAGTTTCCATGATCTGCCATGTTTGGTTTTTTTTCCCAAATCAACTGAACAAAATCTCAATGACTATTCTTGGGGAAATACTTTATATCAGCCTTGCTGAGAACAATCACAAAGTTAGACTTATGCCTTTCTTTGGAAGGGGAAAGGCATTATAGACATTGCTGGCTTTCTTCCCAATAACATATTTGTAAATGACTGAACCTAATTATACTATTAGCTTCTCCTTGAGATCGTAGCTAGGCATAAGAGAGCTTCCCTTCCACCCAATTCTTACTGCCCTGCTGTATTATTAGAAATTAAGACTTTTAGCACAAAGGACGTTGTCACTTTTCTCATCTCGGTAGGAATCTGTGGGTTTAAAAACCTGACTTCTAACAGCAAGTCATGGATAGTTTGGGGACAAATAAATCAGGAAGTGAGACAAGAACTTTATTATCGCTATTACAAAGGAACAGAACAGGAACAGGAAACTTCTGACCTCAGTAGATACAATAAAGTTCAGTGTCATCTAGTGGCTAGACAATAGAGTGGCCAGTCGCTTGATTTCACAGACATGTGCAAACATATTTATTTATTTATTCAATTCTATAGCCACCCATCTCAATCAAGGACTCTGGGTGGTTTACAATTCGAAAATATACATATTGCCATTGTTTATGGCTAATTCCCTGGTTAAGCTTACTGTATCTCTTTATTAACAGAATTCAGATTGTACTATTAATTACAGCAACTGAGACTGTAATTAAAATTGGGGAGGGGAGGGGATCTGACCACCCATTACATCTCAGCTGTTTTGATTTGTTGGGTACCTATGCAACTGACTAGATTCTCCCTGGCAATAGTTTTGATATAAAAGATATTTCAAGCTTTTAGATTTTACTATTTGAAACTTCGGAGTAAGGGGAAAAAAATTGAAGTCAGAGAGAACCATCAAAAGAAAAAAAAAGAGCATGTACATATTCTTTCAGTATTTATAACAATTGCTTGTTTCAGAGGCAAAATATTAAAACATAATAATTAAACTCATTAGACGTTATCATAAATTCTCTGAGGGAGATGGGTGGTTGAGAAGTGTCAAATATAAATAAATAAAAATAAATAAATAAATACATTTTCATGAAAAATCCTATATTTTTTAAAAAATTAAAAAATAATAAAGAGAAAAGTGACATTATTTAAAATTATTTAATTTTCTTTCAAATATCTTTAATATCTAGCAAATAATTTTGATTTCATGGACCCCTGAGAGAGTCTTGGGGCCACACTTTAAGAAATGTTGCTCTAAGGCAGTGATGGCGACCCTTTTAGAGACCGAGTGCCCAAACTGCAACCCAAAACCCACTTATGTATCGTCGGGTGCCGGGTGGGCGTGGGCCATTGGGTGGGTGTGGCTGTGGTGGTAACGGCAGATTGGGTGGGTCTAAAAAGTTCAATCAATCAATTCCAACGTTGCGAGATCTTTTTTTTCCCACGAGAAGTTGAAATTGATTGATTGATTGAACCTTTTTTTTTTTTCACACGGCGGCGGAGGCCTAAAGCGAAAAGGTTTTATAAAACCCAGCTGAAGGCCTAGGACTGGGGCGAGGGTGCGTGTGCCCACAGAGAGGGCTCTGCATGCTACCTGTGGCACGCGTGCCATAGGTTCGCCACCACGGCTCTAAGGAAACCTAATGGGCCCTGGGTATCATTTCCAAACTTAATAATGTGAGTATCTATTTCTCTTCCTTGTTCCATGATGCAGATTGTCAGCAAGCGAGCTGGAACCCAGTGCAGTAATTGCCAAACAACTACCACAACTCTTTGGCGCCGCAACATGAATGGAGAACCTGTATGCAATGCCTGTGGCCTCTATTACAAACTGCACAATGTAAGACAATAGGAAAAGAGTGGAGGAGAGTATATGTACATGAAAAAGGGGTGCTTGAGTGGGTGAGTGGGAGTTGGTTGCTTCCACGAATATATTGGAGAATTTCCCACATCTTTAGTGGCACTTAATATGTATAAGCCATCTTTGAATAGCTCGGGGAAAAGATCTGGGCGCTTATTGTCCTTATATGTCATGTAGGTCCACACTGTTTTGCTCAGACCATCAACCATTTAGCAGACAAGAGGCATGCCCTTGGATTTATGCCGACAGAATAACATCATAATGTAATTGTATTATTTTAAATATATTACAATAATGTAATACCTCTCAATAGTATCCCCAGAAGAAATTTCCTCTGAGATCCTAATCTCACCCTCATCATTTCTCTTACAGGTGAATCGCCCCTTGGCAATGCGCAAGGATGGGATCCAAACACGGAACCGCAAGGTCTCCTCCGCAAAATCCAAAAAGCGCAAAGGCAATTCTGGGGAAGCCACAATGCCTGCAAACACACCCTTGGAGATGATGCCCTCTTCCTTGTTGGGGGAAGAAGCTGCTGCCCTCTATCCTCTCAACCCCATGATGCTACCAGGACACCTGCTCCCCTTTGGAGCCAATCCTCACTTTCTAGCATCTCCAGCAAGTTTCCCTCCACAGGTTTCCCCAGCCCCACATGGTTCCCCAGGGATGGTCTCTGCTCTGGGGTAAACAGCCTTGTAGCCTGTGCACGCACACACACACTTTTATGCAGGGAGACTTTGGGAACCTATGTAGGGAGAAGAGACTCCTAAAAAAGGGCGGCCTTTTGGCACAGCTCTATTAGCAGTTTGGGCCCCTTGAAAATGGCCCCTGAGGGTGAGAACTGAGATTTCCTCCCAGATTACCAGAGCAGACAGAAAGTCACAGTGGGTAATTCATAGAAATGAGGGGAAGAGCTGGTGATAAAGGGGCAAAACTGTTTTCTGTGAAGGGATCCTTTTGAAGGGCCAGCATGAAATGTGGAAAGCTTCCCCTGGGGAGAAAATAATTGCTGGCTATACAAAAAACAATGAGGGAAAAAGTTAGGCTCACATTCTGGTTCCCAGGATCAATACTTTTACGTGTGAAAGTTGATTTGTTTGTTTCTCAATCCAGAAAGTCCTCAAAGTTTTGCCATTTTATTATACCCCCCTCATCAACTGTTTATGCCAATTAGAATGCAGACTGAAGTAAGGTAATGATGCTCTAATAATCCAACTTGCTACCCCCATCTGTAAATAACTAGCTCCATAACTATTTTCTTTCCTATCCACTCTGCAAGATATGCATTGTAACCCAGATGAGTATTTCTGACCCTAGAAACAATCTGTACCTGCTTCTCCTTACAACTAAATATTCCTTGACACATGTCATTTGTGAGAGCGCTGTGGGTGTGAGTGGATGTTTTACCCTGACTGCGTGGCTATAGATCTGTCCCAAGAATTTCTCCACCACCAGCTCTGTGATACTTTCCATACGTGACAAATCTTGGACATTGTAGGAAGACCATTTTGAAGGAACATTCTCCCAAAGATTAAATCCTAGTTGTCCTCGCAATTTTACTTCCAAGAACTCTCTTCTCAAATACACATTTTGTGCATCAGCAGTGCGTTTTGTGCCTTCCTGGTTTGAAATAGGGCTCCACTTTAAAACTGCTTATCCAGAAATAGTTCTGAACCAAGAAATGGACTGGTGATCTTTTTGTGACCTTTTTTTTAAAGGCCCTTCAATAATATGTTTTGAATCTATGAAGAAGGAAACATTTCTTAAGAGTTTAAACATAACTAATCTGAATAATACTTCTTATTCTCTTTCTAGCCCATTTCCTACCAATGGGGAAAGTGTGCTTTTTTTTGTAAATAGAAAACTCACTTAGATAAACCAGACCAAAGTTTACTAAGGCAAGATTATTTGCAAGAATCCTAATTCCTAACAGTTAGCTGGCAATTATATGATCCCCTCAAATTCTCCCATAGATTATTTTATTTTATTTTATTTTCTTCTTTCTTTCTTTCTTTCTTTCTTTCTTTCTTTCTTTCTTTCTTTCTTTCTTTCTTTCTTTCTTTCTTTCTTTCTTTCTCTTTCTTTCTTTCTTTCTTTCTCTCTCTCTCTCTCCTTTCTTTTCTTTCTTTCTTTTCTTTCTTTCTTTTTCTTTCTTTCTCTTCTGTCTGCTCTATCATCCTTTTCTTATCATACCAGCCTATTCACAAACACATCTGCCCAATCTCATTATATTCTTCCCTTTATGAGTTATTTTTACTGTACTCTCACCTCTGAAACTTTGCAATGAGTAGAGGAAAAGAGAGGACATATCATGTTCTGGCTGAGATACTTACAGGATCTGCCTTTTTTTACTCCAATCCCTTTGCCGGGCTTACATATTTGCTAGGTTTATATATTTCTATGAACTTTCCCCTTCTACAGTATGTTAACAACAGACGGACAAGGTTGAAATGCATTTTCTGCAGAGGCAACTTCAGCACGGCATGAAGCAAGTTCCCCCAAAGAATGACAGTTTTTGCTTAAGTGTCTTTGAAAATTATTTGTACCATTAAATGTACGTTTTAAATGAAATCTCATGGGGAAATGGGAAGTACTTTTTTTCTTTCTCTGTCTTCTCTGTGATGCAAAAGGAATGCTATCCCATGATATTCTCACAGCAGAAAATTGAATACATGACAATCTCCATGGGCAAGTTTTATGGGAGATGGTTGAAATGCTAGTTGACACACCCTGATTTGCGGTAGGTGATAATGTTATTAGCAAGATAAATTGATTTGGGTAGGTGGGAAAACATGCCCTGCTGCTTATTTTGGGGTCACTCAGCCTATGGCTCTTAAGGTGAATGATCTTTCCTGAGCACTAAGCACAGAGAGCAAATGCAGAGAAATATTCTCCAGACTGTTCTTGATGGATCTCAGTTGGCATATGGTAGGTCTAAAATAAAAGATAAGAAACCCAGCAATGAATCCAGCAAATACAGCTATTGGAGCAAGGATCAAATCCAGGTAACCTTCCCCATGGAATCCCCCAGAACTCAGGTTTAATTCTTTAATTCAGAGGGAGACACAATTCAAAGTTCAATGCTATTGAATACAATCATACTTAAAAGTGTGATCCACACTGAACTTACTAACGTGCATCAGAACACTGATTTCTTCTGCATCTTCCTCCCTCACCTTCTGTTATACATGCAGTCCTTGACTTATGACCATAAGTGAGCCCCAATTTCTGTTGCTAAGCAAGACAGTTGTTAAGTGAGTTTTGTCCCATTTTAT